TCACTCTCTCTCCATCACATCAATTTTTAGCCGTTTGCATAGAGCATTAAATATAGGTAAAAACAATAACTAATTGCACAGTTTAGTTGGAAATCACGAGATGAATCTTTTGAGCTTAGTTGGTCCACGATTGAACAATATTTATCAATAAGACGAAAGTGCTACTATTCATTGGGTTGAAATTTTTTTCAATTTAAACAAGGCCCTAGTTCAATGGAAGTCAACAGTTGTACGGATCGAAGGCCCGCTACCTGCAAATTAAACGGCAAGGGCCACGGTGGCGACCCGCTTGCAGATGGCCTTGAGGAGGCAGAGTGCCCCGTGCGGTGTACTACCCGGCCCAGTTCCCTCAAGTCGTCCACGTAGATGGTTTCCTTGTGTACGTCCTCAAGCCGTCGGTGCTGGTGTTTGGACTAAGGGCGCGTTTAGTTGACGAAATTTTTTGCTTTGGCAACTATAGTACTTTCATTTATATTTGGTAATTAGTGTCTAATTATGGATTAATTAGGTTTGAAAGTTTCGTCTCGCGATTTATCACCTAACTGTATAATTAGTTTTTTTTTCGTCTATATTTAGTACTCTATATATATGCCGCAAGATTCGATGAGACTCTTTAAGCTGAAAATTTTTGGGAAGGACCTAAACTTTGTCCCGGTAGTATCGAACGTTTGGACACCAAATGGGTGGCAGGCCGCAGACCGCATCGGAGACCGAGACCGACCGAACCGGCTGAGGAAAATTTCGAGGGAGCACGACAGGGCAAACATGGCGGGAAAGTTTGGCGCCATCTATTCCCGCGCCGCCGCCTGCCTATTTAGCCCCCGCCCCCGCCCCCGCTCCCGCCCCCGCAACATCTTCCTCCACTCAACCCCAACTCCTGCCAGATTTCTCCTCTTCTCCCGCTGCCTGCACCCAAGAAGCCTCTCGACCTTAGCCATGGCCGCTTCCAACGGCGCCGCAGCTGCCGCCACCGACTCCGTCCAGGAGCATCCCGCCGCCACCACCGAGTCCGTCCAGGAGCCTCCCCAGAAGATCTCCAAGATCTCCCCCCTGCTCAAGGTGAAGAAGCTCTCCGACAAGGCCGTGCTGCCGTCCCGCGGCTCCGCCCTCGCCGCCGGCTACGACCTCTCGAGGTACGCCCTTCATCTCCGCCCCCTAAATGCCCAAGAAATCCTCAGCGCCGCGCGGATCTGTTGACGGTCTGTTTCTTTGGCTGTTGTTTGTCAGTGCCGTGGAGACTCTGGTGCCGGCGCGTGGCAAGGCGCTGGTGCCGACCGACCTCAGCGTCGCCATCCCCCACGGAACCTACGCGCGCATCGGTGAGCGACATAACCACCGCCCCTCTCCTTTTCCTTCGGTATCTCGTTTCTCGTTCGGTTTGTTCGCCCCGCGGGTGTTTGACGAAATGCTTGGCTGGTTCTGGTCGCGTTGCAGCGCCGAGGTCCGGGCTGGCGCTGAAGCACTCCATCGACGTGGGCGCCGGCGTGATCGACGCGGACTACCGCGGCCCCGTCGGGGTCATTCTCTTCAACCACTCCGACGCCGACTTCGCCGTGAAGCCCGGCGACAGGATCGCGCAGATGATCATCGAGGTGATCGCGACGCCCGATGTCGCGGAGGTGGAGGACCTCGACGCCACCGTCCGTGGCGAGGGAGGGTTCGGATCCACCGGCGTCTGAAGAACCTTAACGGTTCCTTCCCTCACGAAGGATTGAGTATCTAGATTAGGATGGTGATGGTGATGCAACCTTGGTGTCTTATGTTGGCTGTAAGAACTCGTGATGTTCAAGTCCCACTATCCTGCGACTACTAGTAAGATTAGTACGTCGTCGAAGTTTAGGTTGCGTAGGTAGCTGAATGCAGGTATTATCGAGAACTCAGTTGATTCTGTGATCTTTATTGTGCACCAATCGTGTTGATCGTTTCTGGAGTAACGTGGAATTGCATCCACTTGTCTTTTCCAATCTGAAAAGACGAATTAACTGGAAGTTGACTGTTTCCACGGTTTAACTGCCCGCAGAACTGCAGAATGCATCCATATGTATCCAGAAGTGCTGAGATCTGATTGATAGAAGCAGCTATTATGCTGCAGTATCCTTGTATGATGGGTCGATGCCATAATTCATGCAATTCCTCTCTTGCAGAGGCGAGCGAAATCACCAATAGCCGGCTCAAGTTGGGAATTTGGGATCAGACCATGTCCCCAGTCAAAAGTGACGCATACTGAGGCAGATTGCAACATCACATGAATGGCCTTTCTACGAACTAGTGGCATTCACTCTGTTTTCGCCAAGTACGATACTTAATCTTCGTCCATCGGAAAACGACTAAGGTATATTTTTGAAATTTACCAGATTCCTAATGTCTTTTTGTAAATTACGAAAAGAATTATAAAATAAAAATAAAAAATCACTAGATGTATGGCCACATCATCCTGTTCCAATCCCGGTTCCTATTACAGCATCAAATTGGTCCAGCCTCCCATATCTTGATCAGGAAACACAACCTGACTGAGTTCAGTTTGTTCAGGCTCCCCCTGACCTTCCTCAAAATTTCTTGTCTCTGGCTCCTTGTCGCAACTTTCCTTGATCAAGATTCATCCATGGATCACTCCCTTGTGATTCTTGTTCCTCTTCATCAGTAACCTCTCCATCTTCCTGAAATCACATGTTTTGATTTTTCACTTCATTACTCAGTTTGTCTCCTGCTAGAGACCAAGAGATCCGGCATTACCAAAATTCAGAGACATCTAGGTGCCTCAGCACTCACCGTGTGATGGTTACAGCAAGGGTAAAATGGGCTTCACATTAAGAAACAAAGGGTTTTCAAAAGAGGCTTACTCCAAGCAAAAACAAGTAAAACCAAAACAAACTTAAACAAGAGCCTACCACTCCACACATGCATTGGTTAGATGAATGCACATATTAGTTTTAGGAAAATAATTCAAAGAGAGAGAAGGTTTACCACGCAGCTTGGTTTGAATTTGAAAGTTAACTCAAATTCAAACTTTGCGCTTAGCTTTTAAAATTAGTTATTTCAACAAAAATAAGTAGGCAAATTAGTTTGGAAAATATTATAAACTTTAAACCAAAATCTCTTCCAAGGTTTTAGTTGGCACCTCTCCTTCCCTCAAGAATCTCCTCAAATAGATGTATAGCTACACGATCATGTTCCAATGTCCCAGTTCTTGTTACAGCATCAAATTGGTCCAGCCCTCCCATACCTTGATCAGGAAACACAACCTACTGAGTTCAGTTCGTCCAGGCTCCCCCTGACTTTCCTCTGAAAATTTCTTGTCTCTGGTTCTTCCTACGGTCTTGGATGACCCAGCTCTTTTTGGCTGGCTCCTTCTTGTTGCAACTTTCCTTGATCCATATTCATCCATGCATCACTCTCGTGATTCTTGTTCCTCTTCATCAGTAGCCTCTCCATCTTCTTCCTGAATTCCCATGTTTTTATTTTGGGAGATTTTGTTGCAGGACACCGCTAAAATGCATAATATCTTTGATGGACACCGCTAAGACGAGAATTTGTCCAAAGACACCGCAAATTGTGGTTCTTTGCCCGCACACACACCGCACCGATTATTTTAATCATTTCTCGAGATCTGGAGAGAGGTGGGTGAAATGACTCTTTTGCCTTCTCTTCAACCTCCGACCGGTGATTGATTTTTGTCAGAACACATCGCCGCCGCCTTTTCTTCTCCGGTGAGGTCTCGTCCCGCTCTCCAAAGACCGGGCGAGCCCGACACCACCTCGTGCAACGCCGTTGACTCGCGGCCACCTAGGCATCACGTGGTGGACCGAGACTTCAACAGGTCCATCTTCCTCCTCACTCCATGGCCATGGAAGCCATGGAGGAGCCGCCGCTCACCACGGTGGCGTGGGAGGGAGGGCTCCGCCGGCTCATGCGGGCCATTTGGTCGGCAAAGACGGCAAGGTCGAGCGGCGGCGCTGGGTCACGACGACGGCGTGGGGGGTCCCACGCGGGCTCGCCGCGGTGACGGCGGCGGTGGGGTTAGCGGCGGCGTGCCAGGCCGCGCATGACGGTGGGAGGGCCTCTACTGAGGGGAGCAAAGATTCGCCCGGCAAGATGGTAGGTTGAGCGGGCGGCGGTACCGGTTGCTGTTTTGGTCGGCCCGTGGGCTCGGTGGCCGGCAGACGGTGGTGGGGTCGGGGTGGCGGCGACGCGCTTCTTGCGCGCGAGGGCGGGAGGCAGCGGCGGGGTCAACTTGACCAAGCATGCCGTGTTGGCGGCGGCATGGTGTGGCATGGCTTGATGGCGGATGAGGAAAGGTTGGAGATGGTCGAGCAGAGAGGAAGGCGACGCCGGCCCATGGAGTCTGCGGATGTTGCTCTCGGAGACGAGATGCCTAGGTGGTCATGAGTCAAGCGGCGTTACACGAGGTGGTGTCGGGCTCGCCGGTCTTTGGAGAGCAGGACGAGACCTCACCGGAGAAGAAAAGGCGGCAGCGATGTGTTACAAAGAAAATCAATCACCGGTCGGAGGTTGAAGACAAGGGCAAAGAGTCATTTCACCCACCCTTCTCCGCAGATCCGAGAAATGATTAAAAAATAATCGGTGCGGTGTGTGCGGGCAAAGAACCACGAATTTGCGGTGTCTTTGGACAAATTCGCGTCTTGGCGGTGTCCATCAAGATATTATGCATTTTAGCGGTGTCCTACAAAAAAACCTCCCTTTTATTTTTCACTTTATTACTCGATTTGTCTCCTGCTAGAGACCAGAGATCTGGCATACCAAAATTTAGAGACATCTAGGTGCCTTAGCGCTCTCACCATGGATGGTTACAAGCTTACAGCAAGACCAATCAAATTCATTCAAAAGGACAACCAAAAATGATTCATCAATGGAAATAATACAATTTTACATCATCATAGTGCTCACAACATTACATTACAGGAGTTTAAGCTCCATCTGTTCACATCAGCAACAGACTAATTTTACATGATACAAGCAGGATCAAGGGAATTAAATCTAAGTCACACGCACACAGCACGCAACCTCTGTCGTTTGTGTGGCTTGGGCAACGTGGACGCAATCTTCTCTTTCTTTGGTAGCTCCAGACCGTCGACCTTGGCGAACCATGGGTGTTCGAGCGCGGCGGCTGCCGTCAGCCTCTTGTCGGGATTGCATGTGAGCAGGCCACTGAGGACCTCGAATCCATCCCTGGACAGCTTCGTCTCGGGGAACAGATCGCGCAGGAGGTTGTACCGCTGCATGTCCAGCTCCGGCACCACCTCGGTGGCGAATGGTGTCGACGAGAACCACGGCCACGTGCTGTCATCAGGAACGCCGAGCACATCGAAGATCGCGCAGAGCTGTCCGTCGTCGGGATCCTTGGAATAGAGGTGTGCCGTTGTTGACGAGCTCCGCCATGACGCAGCCAAGCGACCAGACGTCGACCTTGGCGTCGTAGTCGGGCTTCTCCAGCAGCATCTCGGGCGCCTGGTACCACAGCGTGCCGGCCGGCTCATACGGGGGCCGCTCGTCCGTGGATATGGCTAGCCCAAAGTCGCAGATCTTCACGATGCTCTGGCTCGTCGACGAGGATGTTCTGGGGCTTGATGTCGCGGTGGATGATGTGGGCGTCGTGCATCTTCTTGGCGCCCGAAAGTAGCTGCCACATGGCGGCGCGCACGTTGGCCTCGGGCAGCGGCGGGCTCCCGCGGGGGCGTTGGCGGAGGAGGTCGTGGAGGCTGCTCGCCACGCACTCCATAATGAGGCACATCTGCCAGGTGACCGGGTCGCGGACGACGCCGTGGAAGCCGACGACGAATGGGTTGGCGCCGCCGCAGCACGCGTCCTCGAGGAAGCGCGCCTCGCGTAGCAGAGTAGCGTGGCCGCCGTCGGCCGTGCTGTGGCGCTTCATGGCGACGCTCTGGCCCGTGGCGCGGTGGCGGGCCTTGAAGACGGCGCCGAAGGCACCCGCGCCGAGGCGGCTGGTCTCGTCGAACTCATACAGCTCCGTGCTCCCGACGGCGATGCGCTTCCTCTTCAGGCCGGTCTTTGCCGCGGCGGTGGGGTGGCGGACGGCGGCGGCGGGCTCTACGCAGGCATCCATCACGAGTGAAGCAGGGCGACGACGACGGCGGATTGCGATGCGTGCCCTAGGCAGGGGACGTCGGATTGTGCGAGGCGAGGAGAAGAGGTCCACGACGTAACGTCGGTGACGGTGACGGTGACGGATGTGCGTATTGCGCGAGAAAGGGCGATACTTATAACACGAACGCGTAAGTGTCAAGCAAGCTGCGTTTCCCGCAATTCAGAGCATCGCCGAGTCCGACTGCGTGTCACTGATCACGTCTGTTCCACATGAACACAACGGGGCTCCTCACCGTATGCACGTCGTTCTCCCACACGATCTGGCCGAACAGCGCCATCCCCGCCGCGCCAGGTGCGCTCGGCGTCCTGTACTTGTTCCTGAACAAGACGGTGTAGCTCTTCTTTTCGTACGGCTCGCCGCCGAACTCCAGCGTAGCCGGCGTCACGGTCACCTCCACGAGCTGGCGCGGCGCCACCACCTTCACGGCGTAGGTCTCGGGACCCTCCGAAACTTTGGTCACGGTGCGCGACAGCACGCGGATGTCGGTGCCGTTGCTCAGGTCCGCGACGAACGACGGGTAGTTGAGGCCGCCTATGCCGCCGGGGAGCGTCCTCGTGCAGCCGGCGAAGCCCGGCACGAACATCCGGACCTGCGCCGCGGTGTAGTTGAGCGTGCACAGGAAGTCGACGTAGTCCCGCTCCGCGACGTCGTAGACCAGGCCCGGGTCGAGCGCCTGCTGCGGACGGACGAGGCCGGCTCCGGCCGCCAACGGCGTCGCGCCATCGCTGGCGCCACCTCTGCGGCCGTTGTCCGCGATGGGCCTGCCGTGGTTGTCGAGCGTTGTCGCGGTTGTCATCAGCGCCGACCGGATCATGGCCGGTGTCCAGCCGGGGTGCCTGTGCTTCAGCAGAGCCGCGGCGCTGGCGACGTGCGGGCACGACATGGAGGTGCCTGACTGGATGTTGAAGCGTGCGCGCCTCGGGTCCTCCTCGGCGTACGTCAGGGGCGACTCGCCGGGCCAGGCGGCGAGGATGTTGGTGCCTGGCGCGATCACGTCCGGCTTGAGGATCTCGCGGGTGACGTGGTTGGGGCCCCGCGACGAGAAGGACGACACCATCGGCGCCGGGTTCTCGCCGATGACCGTGCGGCAGGTGAAGCGGAACGATGCCACCGGGTAAGGCTCCGAGCGGACGTACGCCGCCAGCTTGTCGGCTTCGCGGGCGCCGAGGCTGACAGCAGGAAGGGTGAACGCCTGACTACGAGCCCGTCCATACGCCAATCCTGGATGGCGACGGAGACTAGCCCGCTGCCACCGGCCTTCTGCACCGCAGCGCCGAGTGATGCATCAGCGCCCAAATCGCCAGCGCACACGACGATCTTGCCCATAATCCTGTCCGGCACCAGGTCCTTGTCTGTGCAGGCGCTGGGCAACAGCCGGATGAAGTCTGTTCGGTTGGCCGTGACGGCGTAGAGAGATTGCCCAGTTAGAACCTGGCCGTTCCCGAGCGTGACGCTCGCCGGGAACACCCGGTCCATGGTGGCAGCGCCGACCGTCGTGATCCACGGCGCCACGTTGCTCAGCGAGGATGCTTCCGGGCCAGAGTTGCCGGCTGAGCAGGCGACGAAGACGCCCGCCCGCACGGCCCCAAACAAGGCGATGGACATGGGTTCCTTGTAGAAGTCGTGGTCCTGGCTCCCAAGGGACAAGGACAGGATGTCGACGCCATCTTTGACGGCGGCGTCGACCGCCGCGGCGATGCCCGACATGCTGCAGAAGCCCATCGGCCCGCACGCCTTGTACATGGCCACCCTCGCCTTGGGAGCCACCCCTCGCTGTCCCGCTCGCGAACTCGAAGAGCTTGGCGCCGGGAACCTCGGAGCCGGCGGCCGTCGATGCCACGTGTGTGCTGTGCCCGTCCTTGTCCCTTGGGGACTGGAAATCGTGGGCCCCTGTTTCTTCCCGGCAACCATTCCGTGTGCGTGCCGGCGCCGGCGGTGAAGGTCCTGGCGCCCACTAGCTTGTTGTTGCACATGCTAGCGTTGAACCGCTCGCCGTTGGCGCACCAGCCCTTCCAGCTCGGCCGGACGGGGTGAGCCTGATGTCGTTGAAGCTGGCGCTTTCCGGCCAGATGCCGCTGTCGACGAAGCCAATGATGATGCCGTCGCCGAAGTCCGTGTCCGGCCAGATGCCAGAGTCCTTGTCGAGGCCGAGGAAGGCCGGGGACCTGGTAGTGTGCAGATGCACCGCCTTGTCCTTGAACACGCCGGTCACGCCCGGAGTGTTCGACACGCGCCGGGCCTCGTCGACGGTGAGCTCGGCGGCGAAGCCGTGCATCACGGTGTCGTACACGTACAAGAAGTGGGTGGAGTTGGCGGCCGGGGAGAGGGAGCCCACCATGGAGGTGTACCAGTGCTCGAGGGTGGTGAAGTTGGACGGCTTGGCGACGTGGTCAGCGTAAACGATGTAGGCGCTGGAATGCTGAGGATTGTGCTCATGACGGCCGCCTCTGCTCGTACTGCTCGACAGCGAGATGGCTACTGAGCGAGCGAGCAGCGCAAGCAGAAGCCAAAAGGTCAAGCAATGCAGGGGACTGAATGTCATGGACGCCGCCATTGTTGATGTGGCAGAGGCTCGACTCGGGCCGAAATGCGCATGGAACTAGGGATGCCTGGTTCTCTTTATAGCACGGCACAGCACCGGAGCAGTCCTCAAATAATATTCCCTCCGAAAAAAAAAGAATCCGTAGGTGTTTTTAGGCCCCAAAACACCCTGTTTCTGAACCGTTGATCTGGTCATCCAAAAGCTCATAGCTCTATTCTTTCTCCTTCACATCTTCTCCCTCCTCCCGACACCCCGTCCATCGCCGTCGAGCACCCCGCCATTCTCCTCCTCGTCGCCCCCGCCGCCGACCATAGCCTCGCTGCGGGCGCTAGGGTTCGTTGGAGCTCTAGCGCGCTAGGGCCGCGCCCACGGCGGTCGCTTTCTTCCCCTCCCCCCTCTCGTCGGAGCTCCGCCATGGCCATGCTCGCAGGCGACGCCGAGCTCCGAGCTTCGTCATGGCGTCCCCGCACCGACCTGGCCTGGCCGCGCACTACCATTGCCAGGGCCCCTGAACCGCCCCGCCACCATCTCCACTGCCTGGCCTGCCTGCCTCCCCCAGGCCGGCCCCATCTATACCTGCCGGAGTTGGAGAAGAAAGAGGGGGAGAGGCTCGCCGGAACCCTAGCCATCGCGGCGGGGCTAGGGAAGAATACGGCAAGCACAGATCCAGGAGCATGAGGAGGAGGATGAGGGACCGGCCTACCTCGTCGGCGCCGCCGCCGCCGCCGGAGGGGAGAGAGGGTTGCGCCGCGTGGGGAGGAGCACCGAGCGCGTGCACGCCGGGGAGGAGGGAGTCGTGTGCGGGTCAGGGAGGAGGAAGTCGGGTGTTGGAGAGGGATAAAACACCCGGTTGGTGTTTAGCATTACTCAAAAAGAATGTTATTCGATAAATTAATCAATTTCAAATTTAACTAGATCTTTATAAAAAAGCACTAACATTGACGATGCCAAATAAATATTATTAAATTAATCATAGAATTTTTTTTATTAAACCTATTTATAAATATATATTTTCTATAAACTCTGTTAAAAAAATTAAACTTAATTCAAACCTAGGATTACATTTTATAGGGCAGAGGCAGTATCTAGAAGGTAACTGAGAGAATAATTTTTAAGATAAACAAGGTGTAGTTTTAGATAGCAAGAAAGTGGGTAAAATGACAAAGTAACTCCATGTGAATGACGTGTTGACATTGCTAAAATATGATCACATACATCTTATATTCTTATCGACGTTCCCTCTCCTTCCAATCCTCCGCAGCTCTGTGACTCTGTCACCTGACGCGCTTCTCTGAATCAATTTCTACTCTTACGAAGAGTACATATATAGCTTTGGCATGACATCTAAATCAGGTGATGCCAACTCTTACGAAGAGAAGAAGTTATTCTTAGCTGGACGCGGTACCGGAGAGTAGCAACTCTGAAGATAAAAATATCTCGGTTTAGAAGAAAGGGAGGCTTTATCGGAGGCTAGGCCATGCACATGGTGGCACTTGCATCCATCCAGCCATCCAGCAAAGTGTCCACATTCTGTTGTGATCTCTGCACTAGCAGGAACTAACGTGTACAGTAGCGTGCTAATCAGGCTTGTTTAAATCCAGTGTGTAAAGTTTTGGAGTGTCATATCAGGTGTCACATAGAGGTGTCATGTGTTCGGATACTAATAACAAAACAAATTACAGAATCCGTCAAGAATCTGTGAGATTTAATTTATTAAGCCTAATTAGTCTATGATTTGACAATGTGGTGCTACCGTAAACAATGTGTTAATGATGGATTAATTAGGTTTAATAAATTTGTCTCGCGGATTACTGATGTTTTTTGTAATTTATTTTATTATTACTATTCGAACACTCCCACGTGACATTCCAATGTAACACCCGATATGATATCCTTAAACTTTACTTTCTGGATTTAAACACCACCCTAGCAAGGAGTTGGAAGTTGTTTATGATAGAAGGCATGGATTCCTAGTGGTCTACTAGAAGTGAGACTTGGTCTACTAGTAGCGTGACAAGCCTTTGCTTTGGCAGCATATATTTTGGTCGCCAAGTATTTCGAAAGGAGCGATAGCCGTCGCTGTAGCTCACAGAATCACAGCAGTGAACAATTAGAGAGTAACGTAGAGTGAGAAGGTAGAGGAGCTGGAGCCACCTACGACCCACGGACCCAACCTAACCAAACGAGCGAACCCGAAATATACTGCACTTGCAAACCATAGCTGATTCGATTACGAGTGTGGTTGATTCTCCGGCGATGCTAAAGTACCGTTACCTAATTTACGATGAAAAAAATATTATTTATTGATTAAAAAAATACGGTTTATAAACTAGTTGGATACGGCGATGTATTTGCCTATTTGGGCTGGGTTGTTGGGTAGTCAGAGGCTCAGAGCTTATTACCTTTCTCTGCAGCAAGGCCCTTTCAGGCGCCTGTCGTGAGTACGTACGCCATGTGGTGACCCACAACGAGGTCTGTCTACTCTGCTACATCTGCAACCTCCTCCAGCACACAGAAACGCACAGGACTGACGCGTTCGCGTTTCCATTTCTAACCTTCAATCCAACGCGGCACGAAGCACAGCTGCACGGCTCCAACAAACGATGACGAATCCCGCAAAAACCCGTGTTAGGTGGTGTTCGAGGTGTATCGAAAGGATGTCGTATGGGGTGTTTGGATATTAATAAAAAATAAATTACATAATCCGTCAGTACTCCACGAAACGAATTTTTAAGCCTAATTAATCCATCATTAGCACATATTTAATTTAGTACTACATTGTCAAATTATGGACTAATTAGGCTTACAAGATTCATCTCCTAAATTAGTTATAAACTATGCAATTAGTTTCATAATTAATTTATATTTAATACTCTATACATGTGTCCAAATATTTAACGAAACAACGACTAAAATTTAGAAGGGACAACCAAACACCACCTTAGCCGAGGACGCAACATCGATCACAGGATAAACTTTAACCAGTTACTAATCACACGTGTAAAATTAGGTTCCATGATGTTTTAGGGATACTCCCTCCAGTTCTCTAAAACAAGTCGTTTTGAGGTTGTCTTAAGTCAAACATTTTAAACTTTGACTATAAATAACTTTTTTTGGGTTGAGTTTGAAAATATGAAAGTGATATAAGTAGATTCATCTCGAAATGTAGTTTTATAAAAGTATATATTGACTATATTTTATAAATATTTTATAGCAAAAAGTTGCAGTCAAAGTCGTTTCTTATAGACCGTGTCGATGTCCGAAACGACTTGCTTTAGAGAACCGGAGGGAGTATGCATTTATTTAGGGAGAGCAAGAGATTGTTGGGACGACTGACGTGGCCTAGCATCGTGCTGCTTGATCCTCCGACGTCTGGTTCAAAAGCATGCGTCGGTGTTCCTCCTTCCGGGTGAGAATCTCCAGGACCACGCAGGACTCGGCCATGGGTGTTTTGATCCAGTTTAGCCTCTGTATGTTCGGATACTAATTAGAAAGATTAAACTTGAACTAATTATAAAACATAATTGCACAGATGCATACTAATTTGTAAGACGAACTTATTAAGTTTAATTAACCCATCATTAGCACATGCTTATTATATCACCACATTGTTAAATCATGAATTAATTAGGTTTGATAGATTCGTCTCGTAAATTAGTCTATGTCTGTGTAATTAATTTTGTAATTAGTCTATATTTAAGGCCTGTTTGGGACTACTCTACTCCACCTTTTTCAGCTCTGCTCCACCAACTCCACCACAGAGTAGCTCCACTGTGGAGTTTCTGGAGCAAGTAGACCTGTTTGGCACGCAGTTTAGCTCTAGCTCTGGAAACATGAGGTTTTTATAGGAAAGGTCTACTATGCCTCTGATCGATGTTTGGTGTATGTTCTGTTGTACGCAGACCATGTGTAATTGAATATTTTTTTACCAATTCAAATATGGTGTACATATTATAATCTCGGATACAAATAATTGTCCATATTTCGGATACAAATAATTGTCCATACATGACTACTGATAAATAAGATAACAAAGTCCATCATTCTAATAGAAATAGTTGTCCATAGATAACTAAAGAATAGTGACTAATACATAATTCTAGTTCCAAGCTAGAGAAAGAGCGGTGGCCAAGTCATCACGGAATTTGTCCATAGTAGGAGCATTCGGTGCATCAGTAGAGCCATTTGATCTAGCCACATATTTGAAGTACCTTTCCGGAATCTCTGGAACATAATTTGGATCACGGTCGCACCGAGCGAAGTCCAAGTCTTCACCACCATGCTCACGAATGAAGTTGTGAAGGACCATAGTAGCCACAACAATCATTTTTTGCTTGAACATCGGGTAGGACGCCATTTTATATAGAATCTGCCATTTCATTTTTAGCACTCCAAATGATCGCTCAATAACATTGCGGATGGATGAGTGAACACGATTGAATCTTTCTTTAGGAGTCTTTGGTTCCATTCCTCTATGCCACTCCGGCATATGATACCTCTCACCTTTATAAGGACAAAGGTATCCCGGACGATTAGGATATCCCGCATCGACAACATAATATTTGCCTATAATTATTAGAAACAAAATATCAGATCACATTTTTAAGCATTTGATCAAACAATGAAGTGCATGGTCATATTTTTAATACCTTTTGGAGGGTGTGGAAAAAAGCTCTCGTCCACTCTAATTGCATTGTACAGGACACTAGTATCATGCATAGAGCCCGGCTGTCCCGTCGACACATAAGTGAACCTCATATCAAAGTCACAACTTGCTAGAACGTTTTGAGTAGGTATACCAGACTTTCCAATATATCTTACTTGATCGTCAGGTGGCAACGAAACTCGGATATGAGTACCATCTAGAGCACCAATGCAATCTTTGAAATGTGGATATGCTCTACGGTCATCTCTTATCCTCCTGTGAACAGTTCAGAAGTTGGGGTCCTTTGGTCTAATAAAATCTCTAGACATATCCAAGCATTCAGTACCTCATCAAATTTCCTATGAATAGTTTCACCCGAGTGCTTGAACCGGTTTTGTGCTTTTTCTATTAGATTCATTTCCAGATAACACAAATAAGAACACTGCCAACATCTCCTGAGTGTTTATATGTAGGGATGGTTTACGACCATACCTTCCAACCAATAAATCATGAAGGTTGTAGAACATCTGTGTGCTCATCCGAAGCTGCGAATGACATTCTCCTGGAATATCCTGCAAAAACAGTATCATGGTAATTAGAAGGGATGTGATTCTGCAAGTTATGGAATTCTTTTTGTATAAACCATGCCATTAACTGTTAACGATGCTTAGATACAAATAAACATGGAAAATTAAATGCCAAGTTAAATGTATTAGCAGTTACATTTCTACATTTGTTAGCTATTACATTTCTCAATTATCAGCTGATACAGATAAACATGTGTTAGCAGTGTCATTGTCATTCTCAATTATGTGTTAGCAGTTACATTTCTACATTTGTTAGCTGTTACATTTCTCAATTATCAGCTGATACAGATAAACATGTGTTAGCAGTGTCATTGCCATTCTCAATTATATGTTAGCAGTTACATTTCTACATTTGTGTTTAATTCTTCAAGATAAAATTAACAGCACATCAACTACATATACAGATAAACATGGAAAATTAAATGCCAAGTTAAATTCTTCAAGAAAAGATCAGAATAAAATTATCAGCTGATAGCACTCACATTTTTTACTTTCTTCCACCACTCAGTCTCCATGTCAATTGTTTGGGTGGCATTGTTCCAACCAGTACCTGTTTGCCTCCTCTTCAACTTTAGCCAAATGGTCCAATCAGCCTTTAATTTATCCCACTTGTTCTTAATTTGAGTCTTTGATAATGAGATACCAGTCATTTGCAAAAACCTAGCTGAGACCTCAATATAACCTACAGAGTTCAAATGAGTATTTGGGCGATTGCCTCTACTAACTTGTTTGACCATCAACTCATGGGCTAATTGCAAATTTGCATCGTTCGATCCATTTGATCACCCCGACCATGATATTGCAATAGTATGTTCAAGCACTTAGGACAATCTATTGAATTTTGCTAGCAATCGTCGCACAAATATCTGCTTCTATTCAAGGCATCATGAAGCTTATTTTGAAGTTTTACAGTGAAGGAGCAATACTGTTCATCTTTCTTCTTCGTGGTAGTTGTCGTTTATGCGTGAAGCACATGCCGAGGGCGTTGGTCGGCCGTGGCTTGTGGGCGGCCTGCTACTGATCGACCAAAGCAAGACTGTCCTGGGCGGCCACCACCCGTCTCGGCTACCGACAGAGAGGCCACCGCGGCGCCGCGGGGAGGCCACGCCACCCCACCCTAGGCGCCGGTGAGCTTCCTCGACCCACGGACATGCGTGGCAGCAGACTTCATGCGAGGTTGGGGAGGGAAGACGGAGGGGATTTGGGGGTAAGAAAAGAGAGGATCCAGTTCAGGATCAACGGATCTATCTTCTCCCTCCATCACGTTGTCGGAATGCTCGTCGAGGCGGCTGGAATAGCGGGCGGCGGCGCTAGGGTTTGTGGGGAAGAAAGGACGACGCTACGGAAGAAAAACCGAGGGAGGAGGCAGGTGGACGGGGACTCGGCGGTGCGAGAAACAGAACGAATCGGTATTCTTGTGTAATAAGTGGCAGGAGCGGGTAATTTCCCACGAACTCCACGAGGACGTACAAAAGGCTGTTTTCTGGAGTATCCCTTGAGGAGCTCTGAGAAAAACGTGGAGTTGGTCTCTAGCTTCACCTTTTTATTGGAGCAGAGTTCTTGGAGTTTGACCTGTTTGGCTAGCCAAGTTTGGAGCAGAGCTAAAAAAGCTGGAGTGGAGCAGTCCCAAACAGGCCCCACCAGGTGCCTAGGTCCTAGGAGTACAAACAAACTTTTTCTTCGTTGCCGCAAAATCCGCTTGCTTTTTTCTCGGGGATTGAGTTTTATTTCCTCGTTAAGACCAGATTGCCTCAAAATTCTAAGTTTTTTCACTCTCTCTTCATCACATCAATTTTTGGACGTATACATAGAGCATTAAATATAGATAAAAAAATAACTAATTATATAGTTTGATTGTAAATCACGAGACGAATCTTTTGAGCCTAGTTAGTCCATGATCAGACAAAGTTTGTCAAATACAAACGAAACGTGCTACGGTGTCCATATTGCAAAAATTTGCAATCTAAATAAGGCCTAAGGGCTGTTCGCTTGTATGAATTTCGAAGGAATCTAAATGGTTCGGAGAAATGCTGGAGAAATTTGTGAGAGAAAAATACTGTTCCGGATGAAAAAATAAGCGGATCAAGCCAGGTTTAAGGGCAGACAAACGGGCCTTAAGTGAGAAGAAAGATTAAAAAAAGGCCCGGTTACAACAACTGAACAACACCGCGAATACGACTTTTTTTCTACCGAAATAAACGATCCTCACAAGTAACAAACAAGAATAAACGACCAAGCGAAAGCGATCCCAAACATACACGACCACATCGGGAGCAGGGAAAAGTTTCTTAGGCCTTGTTTAGATGACATCACTCTCTCTCCATCATATTAATTTTTGGACACATGCATGAAGCATTAAATGTAGGTAAAAAAAGTAACTAATTGCACAGTTTGGTTGTAAATCACGAGACGAATCTTTTGAGCCTAGTTAATCCATGATCGGACAAAGTTTGTCAAATACAAACGAAACATGCTACAGTGTCCGGATTGCAAAAATTTGCAATCTAAACATGACCTTATTAAGAAAAGAAAGCAACATTACTAAACACAAAATGCATAGTACGTCACGGGAAGCTGATGTTCCTAATTAGGCAAATGAGCAAACTGATATGATAAATTGACTCAGGAATATACATGCTACTTCTCTAAATCTGAAAAGTAAAATGGTTGTACAAAGAAAGGGCAGATCACACGTAACTGATATTCTGGTAATAACAGTATAAACAGTTACTAACTCAACAAGATACAGCTCTGAGACAAATTGCACTTTTTCCATTAAACATAGGGCGTAGTGCACAAAGATTCTATACTACAAAAACAACAAAGGGATTCCCAGGACAAGTCGAGTTGATCACCGATCACCATTGTCTGTTGTTAAGGCGCGACAAGGAACATACAACATGGGGGAGAAAAGTTGGCCTTCAAACTATCTTCCGGGTACCACTGAAGGCCCAAATCTGTAAATTTTCAACAATTGTCAACTTCGATATCAGAAATACTGAAATTTGCACCAAACTACTCTTTATCTAGGAATTCTCAGGGTTAGCGATAGAATATGTGTTGAGTGCGGAAAAAGAAGGGCATAATCCATTATTCCATCCTAGGCATCAAGAACTAAGAAGTACCAGTATTTGAATCCAAAGAGTACTCATTATCAATAGCAAGTAAAGATTTAACCATGTAGTACTCTAATGAAAGGTATTCACTTTGAATAGGGTTTAACAAACAGCATAAGGTGAGTATGCATGTAGTACAACTACTACTTCAGTTACAGTAGAACTGTTAGTGTCCAAGGCATAAAAGTTCAACAAAACTGAGGAAGCAGTCAATGAAAACGATCTTTCTTAAGTGTTCTTACCTTCAAATTTTTGTCCCAACTTCCTGTACACAATGCACTCCCATCAGATGACATCCCAAGGCAACTTATACGACCATCATGGGAGTTTTGCAGGTTCCCCAAATTAAGTACCACCTGCAAAGTTTCAACGAAAATTAACAAGAGAAGGTAATATCAACAATAATGAGAAACAGACAAAAAATGTCAGAGGTGACCCACAAGCCTTCACAATAACTTGAACTCAGATATGCTTTTAAATGCAGGTATACAATTATCCATTAAGTTGGCCCAATTCAAAACCAACGTTCTAAACCTCTTGGCCTATAGCACTAACTAGGAATATCTTGATACAATACAAGGTGATCTGAAGCAGCATCCTCTAAATTTGTATGCATGACCTGCGCAGGTTGATGATGTGCGGACTAATATGGAAGGAACAGAAGCTAGGCTACTTATTCATGAGGTCCTGGGCCTAGTGCAAACTTCAATTCATGTAATTGTGATAGTTGCTGAGGAGCATTTCAAAGGAAAAAATAGGCAATTAGTTCATCATATTCCATTGCTTTCCCCTGTGGCTAAATTTCACTTAATAATCACATCTGCATGCTTATATTGCTACTGAGTGGCAATGGAGTTACACTTATCTAACATAAAGATTTTATCACTAGTGTTAACAGCATGCCAAACATTGCCTAACTATGAATTTATGTGGCTCACAAAAGTGAACTGTAATCAATTATGTCATATTTTTCTCAACAGAAGGAAACCGGACAGTGGTGAAACAGTAATTTGTCGATTATGGGCATTAGTTTTTCTTTGTAATATATAATAAGATGTATTCATTCCATGGCAAATGGTAAAAAATGCAAACCTCGGCAAGAAGTGTGTCCCACACATAACAGTCACCATTGGAGTAACCAGCAAAAAGCAGCCTTCCTGATATCGAAAATGCAATAGATGTAACAGTAGGTAGTTCATTATCATTTCTATCAGGCTCCCTACTGTACACCTGAAGTTGATGCCCTGTTCTCATATCAAATAATCTACATGTGCCATCATCTGAGCCAGTACCAAATCTATGGCCATCAGGGAAAAACTTCACACTGTTAACGTCGCCCTCATGTCCATGGTAGGTTCGAACAGCTCGGCTTGCAATTCTGATATCCCACAGCCTCACAGTTGTATCACATGAGCCAGAGACAAACATATTCGTATTTGATGAGTTGATGGACACACTGAACAAGAAAGGAAAACATCAGACAACTCAAAACCAAACAAGTACACACGAAAAGAGTATAGCAAACTCCAAATATCAATGATGACCTGATAAACCAGCACTTTCAGTTAAAAAACTGTAAAGCAGCAACACAACTGTGCTACCATATATTACTTTGATGTTCATGTGTTTGCTGCATAGACAATGCATTTGGCACATTTGCATCGGCTAGACTAGTTGGTAAGACTGTCTCCAACAATGAACCCATATGGGCACCCAAACCCAAAATGGGTAGCAAGATACCCAAAATCAGCCTCTAACAGAGTACCTATACGGGAGACCTATTTTGGGTTGCCTGAGAGGCACAACCAAAATATGGGCATCCTCTCTCCTGGAAACCCATTTGCAGAAAGGATTCTCTTTTGGGTCTTGTTGTTGGAGAAGATGCCGAATATGTATTGAACCTTTTGCCTGTAGCGCTACCCATAGGACGAATGGGTCTTGTATTTTGGGTATTATTGTTGGAGATAGTAGTGCCTAATTGTACTAGGGCAATTGCATCCAGAATAAGTGATGTAATATCAGCAACCTTAGGCAAGAGTGTTACCCAAATGCCTACTGTGCTACCACGTGAAGATCTTAGTACTCCACTTGTTATGGTGGGCAACAAGTATCAGAGGAGGAAGCGTGCACGTGGCTAAAGCGTGAGCCAGGGAGCCGGCGAAACGACGAAAGCTGCGACGCGCGTGCGGTTGCGCGGTCACCGGGTGGTTCAGTCAGTCAGTCGAGTCATTAGGAGTTTGTTTGAGATCCTAAACTTTAGCATGCAGTTTGTTAGCACTTGGTAGCTTTTGAATTGGAGTCCTTATGTATTGAACGATTGTGAGCAAATGAGATCAGCCAGAGATTAGAGTTATCTCTCTAGCCTCCTGGCGCCCTAGCGCCCTCACCCTCCGTCCCCGAACTCTAAACGCCGGCGCCGAGCACGGCGCCACCAGCTCGTCGTCGGGCCTTCAAGCCTCGTCCGAGCACCTCCCACTCCTACGCATTACGTAGTAGATCGGGGCATAACACCACTTCCGTTCCAACAAACACACACGCACGTGCGCACACACTACCCAAATAAAATGTACTACCAAGACGTATCTCATGGTGGATCAACGAAACTAATCTGAAGTAGTTGATGTTGGTGCATTTTTCAATAAACTTAGTAAATAGAGAAGTTTGACTTATGACAAACTAAAACAACCAAAATTTTGGAATGGAAGGAGTACTTGTTATTACTAAAATTACAGTGAGTGCTAAAAAGTAAGCTTTCATTTATGTAGGTAAACTTTATTAAACTCAACATGAATAATAATCAGTTCACAAACAAAACTTTAGAAGCAATAGTGATAATTTGATCATAAAACATTGACATATTGATAAAGCTAGCAACCTAGTGTGCACCAGCCTAAGCTAAAAATGTATAAGTGAGAAGATACCAATTAACTTTGAGGAGAGAAATCAGCAGCATTACACATGACACTAAAATATGCAGTCCACAAAGAACAGACAATTACCTTTGAACGTCAGCTGTATGCCCTGATGGAAATTCACCTCCAAATATTGATATCCTCTGTCCAGTAGTAACATCCCAAAGAACACATGTCTGATCACCTGAGCTAGTAATAAGGCGAGTTTCCTGATCTGGGACATATTGGCATGACGAAACATAGCCCTTGTGTCCAGTAAGAATTCTTGATACTGGCATGTTCCCATCTCTATCTGCTTGAGAGTTGAGATTGAAAATAGAGCATGCGCTATCAAGACCACCACAGGCGACAGATTGGCCATTGGGTGCAAGAGCACACGTCATCACCCATGGGCAATGCAGCTTTATGGCATGCGTTTTCTGGCTTGTCAATGCATTCCACACAATTAACCTTCCATCTTGAGAGGCACTGACTATCCAATTCTTTTCTGGGGTCCAATCCAGAGAATATACCTGTGATGACTTAGGAGTTAATAGAACATCGCTAAACCATTTCATGTAGCACTTTTGCAAGTAGTACCCTACAAAGATAGCTGAAGTACTGAATTTCCAAGAACCACCACAGAACTCAAATATAGGCATCTTTGAACAGTTGGAACTCCATGCTCCAAAAATTTTCATAACTTTAGCATCATGAGGTGTTCTACTCTAGTTAAATGGTAATAAATCTGGAAGATCCTAATTTTTAGCAGCGGCATCATAGCCTGGACAAACAAAGGCTTCCACCAAAATAATGGGATGATATAACATTAGATGGGGAAACTTAGTCCTTGCTAGCTTGCTTCTGAAGAGATATAATGATTTTCCTTTAACAGCGATGACTTGACTGACCCCTAGAAATAATCCCCTTAAGTAAACATCATCCCTCTTCCCTCATATAGTTACTCTACAGAGATAAACCCATCAGATTACAGAACTATTTACCTGTACCTCTAGCTACCAATTATCAAATAATACTTCAGTGACAGGTTCATGCGGTGCTACAGTATCTCTGCAACAGAATTTACATGCAGAGAATCTTGTCCCATATCTCAAACATCAACCTCACAATGGTATTGTTTGCTTCTTCATTACTCAGACTCAGGCTCCATGTAATTATCATATATTACTCATCTTTGTGGAAAAAGCAAACGGATAAAGAGGCACTTATCACTTTGATAAATGAAAGCTACCAGTTTATCCACATTCCATGCTGCAACTACAATTGGTTTTCAACCAATAACATGTAGGTGATATAGTGATTATATGAACGCGCTATGTGAAATATGTTGCACTATATATTTTGTAACAAAAGGGAACCTTTTCTATGGACGAGCTCTAGCTATCATCAGTTCACCACTTACAGTGGCAACAGTGACTTCAATTGAATGACGATTGGCCCAGCTTAACACATATCCAGTTGTACCATTGCATCTATTCTCTCTTGTATAGTTGATGGTTAAGTACTAGAGTTGGCTTTTTTTTCTTCAGGGCTATGGAAAGATTGGATATGAAGTGTCATCACTGTTCACTAATATTTTTAAATCTTATTATAGCAACCTACAGTTATCAAAATTCAGATTCGCACTTCGATTCAACAAAAAAATGCATTCTGTCTGAGGATAATAATATCTGATTAGGGACATAGTGTTAACTCACTATAACCAGAGCCAAGATGTGCCTATGTAGTGCAAAGTACCCAAAATTCTATTCACTTGGTAAGATTAGCCTGGCCTGCTAGAAGAAACTAAAATCATACAGGACCAAACTTACATACTGATGGTCTGATGGACCCATTCCAGCTGTTGACAAATGTTTACAAACATTGATCCCTGAATCCTGCACTTGCAGTTTCAAAATTCTATATGGCTCACTTAACAATTCTCATAGACCAAATTGCACTCCAATTTAACCTTACCACACATTCTGTCACGATAAGGCTTATCTAATTACCGGTGCAATGCCCAATCAGTATAGTTAAGAACCATTTTGTGGCTAAATACTGTAAAACGCCCATAACAGTTTCATAACTTGGTAGGGTAAGCCTTGCTTGCTGGATGAATCTGATGATACACTTTTTACAAGACAAAGTTAATTGAGCACTTACAGACTCCGTCCCCTTAGAGCAACTCCAACAGCCTTTGTATAATGCTCCTTAAAGCCCGGTTTGGCGATTGTTGGCCAAAAGACACATCCAACAGCTCTTGTATCGCGTTTTCTTTTTTTTCCCCCAAAAGCTATCCCTGCTATCTCGCTCGTTATCTTTTGCGAGCCGCGCATGCTCGCCATCTACGGCTCCCGCGCGTGATTTCCTCTCCCAGGCGCCTAGCTCTCCTGTGATTGGTTGACAAACACGTGATCCTATCCTATTTCAAGCGCCAGGAATAATCCAGCAGGTGAAAATTGATGGCAGTTACGTGATGTGGCCAACTTTTTTAATATAGAAGATGAAAAATACCTAGGCTGTTGTAGACCTCTTCTATTTTGAGGAGTTTTGTATTTTACACAATGGCTAAACCATAGAATTTGGCTATTAATTTTAGATGAACTCTTAGAATTGCTCTTAAATGCACGAGGGCCTTCAAACTTTGAACCAACAACCTTAGAAAGTGCATCCAACCTACAATTCCCAGACCACTAGCCAACTTCGCTGTAATCAACAAAACTGTGTCTAGAGCAACTTGAATGGTGCTAAACCCTGGTAAATTAGGCGAAATCTTTGAAAATTATACAAGGAAGTTGAGGCTGAAGGCAAGTACACCACAAGGAGTCCAGGACGCACAAAACGCCATCCAGGTCAACAAGCACGCACCCTGGAAGCTGGAGGCGATCCTATTGACCAGTTATTACTTATTACTCACGACGAACAACATCGCAGGTAGGAATTGCTAGCACTACCGACTCCAAGTTCCAAATTCCGCAATCGCAAAAGCGAAAAAGAAATCCCACCCATTTCACACCCTCAATTGCACACAAGGAAACAGAAACTAAGGGAAAAGTCGCAAAAGTTGCGCCGAAATGGAGGTGAGAGACCAAAGTCAACAACCTTTCCGCTATGGCCCTGCAGCGTGCGGCAGCAGACCAGATCCGTCGGGTTGAAGCTCACCGGCGCCCTCCCCTGCGACTTGGAGTACCTCGCCACTGCACCGCGCAGTCGCACGCACACAGAGCAATCAGCAAATGCCCGCGAATTCCCCGAACCCCACGAGAGAGGGTCCCCGACGAGGAGCGGGGAGGAGAGAGAGGCCTCACCGTCGGTGTCGAGGAGCGTCTCCCGGCGCTGGCGGAGGCGCTCGCGCAGGGAGTTGACCGACGCCGTCGCGGCGGCGTGCTTCTCCTTGAGCTCCGCCACGGACGCCATGGGTGCCGCCATCTGCTAGCCTCGCGCCGGAGGCCGCCGCCGCCTCGGGATTCGGGTGCACGCGGGTGGGGATCTACGAGGATCCACGCATGGAGCTGAAATTCCAATGGTTGCGGGTATGGTACGGGGAGCTCCCAACGGAGGCGGCTGAGGGACTAGGAGGAGGAGGAAAGGCGGCGGCGATGGCGGCGACGACGGGAAACTGACAAAGTGGAGGGGAGGTGGGGAGAGGTTGGGCCGTTGGGGCAGTGTATGATTGTGTGAGTTGTTGGGACGCGTTGGGTTTTTGCATTTGGGTACGACGTGGGGCGAGTTGCTCGCCCGTACAGCGCATGACATCTGGGCCCCGCCATCGGGACGTGGGCCCGGCTGGTGTGGGGGGTTTATGGCAGGCTGCTGAAGTGCTGACTACTGAGGCGGCGTTCGGCTGGTCTGAAAATTTCACATCAGCCCGGCTGCTTTTCCTTATATTGTTACAGTGTATTTTTTAGCCGCTACAGTATTTTTTTCTCACACAACCAGCCGCTATAGTATTTTTACTTATTTTTTCAGACAAGCGAACGGGGCCTGAGTGCTGAGACTGCAGTGACCGTTGAGGTTGTACCAGTTCGCGAGTTATGAAAACAGGGTAAAAGATCATCGGGTCACATTCTTGGTAAGCAGTTGGAAGCTGATTGCACTCTTTTTTATATAAGAAAAAGCAAGCTCATTTCTTTGAGTGTACTGATATTTTTCTTTTTCAGGGCTTAATCCCTACCATTCATTATAACATGCGTGTTTTAAACAGCGGACTATAGGCTATAGCAACGCTATAGTGTCAAAGAGCTATTACAACGGCTACAATAAAAATAGCGGGATATAACAATGCTATCAGTAGGTGGAGAAGACTACGCTAAATTCTATAGCTGGTCATTTAAAACTCTAATCATTATAGGTAAGGGTAAATCTAGCAATCAATGAGATGGAGTCAAGTTTAATAAAACTTAAGAATTAACAATATTTTGTTAAGAATTTATACGATTTCATCAGGTTCAGTTAATCATAGTCTTTTGTTTGACAAATACTCCGTACTAAGATAATATATAAATGCCTACACCCTTAACCAAAAGCATGACCTTTTTCTTGTGTGTGAAATCAAGCACGTCATCATGTTACATAAATATGATTTGTTTAACAAAGTATCACATTATATTTCTCTCCTTCCTTTTAGATACATGTATAGGTTTATTGTTGGGCAATGGGCATATCAATTTTCCTGAGCAAAAGTATTATTTTAATAATCCTATGAATTGAACAAGGAATAGAAAAATACTCTAGTAAGAAGACTATGATAGTGTAAACTAATCATATATCGATACAACAGTGTCAAAATGATCCTTCACATTCACTAAGAGGGTATAAAATCACGAGGCTATTGAGGGGGAAGAAAAGAACCTACACCATTGGATTTTACGATAGTCAGAAAAAAGGAACTTATATCATAAGATATTTGATCTAACGGTTTCGATTAAATAAAAAGTTACATATAATACAATTATGATATTTATAGAAATAGAAAATAATAAAATATCTATGTTGTTGGATTTATGGCAATCTAACATCTTAGATTAAATCAAATAGCTGATGCTTGATACAACGACGAGATTATTTTAATTTTTATGATAATTTACTGCCTTAGATTTAAAAAATCCGTGTTTAATACAAGTAATAGAAAGTAAATTCAAAATAATAAACAAATTAAGAAAAATGACAATTAAATTTCCATACGAGTTGGAAAGAAAAATACGTAAACACAAATTACATGTAAAGCATAATTGCTGAAGGAAAAAAGTCATAAAAAACTTTGAAAAGCTAACGACTTGATCTCTAAACGAATGCTAAGAAAGAGTACCTACATAAACTGTCCATATAAACTATAATGATTAAGTAGCTAAATTCAAAGCTAAACTGTATATAAAAATAGTAACAATTTACATTCATTGGACGAAAACATTTTTTAGATAATGACATTGGAAGAAAACATATTGGAGTGATATAGATTTATGAGAAGATATAGGAAAAAGTAAGTAAAGACTCCAATATAAATGGAATAGGTATGGAAATAGATAGTAGTAGTATAGAATTAAACCACCATTCCAAAGTGATTTTGTTAGATAGTAATAAAAAAATGAAGAAAACTAGCTATCCAATGTGCACACCAATGTCTTGGCATGTATGTGAAAAATCATCAAAACACTTTTCAGATCTTAACTCTATCTCGTTCTCCTCCACTGCGCTCTATGCTTCGCCATCTTAATGTGCCTTCCGGTTGTGCCTCTAAAATAGTGTTTGGTCCGTGGGAGAAAAATGAGACAGGACAAGACTATCTCATTTTACTTGTGTTTGGTTCATAGCGCTCGTTATATAAACCCTTTTACCTTTTTTTTCTCGGGCATTCTCAAAACAAATGCTTGTGAACAAAGCATCTCAGGACCATTGCCATGCCGATGCCGGGTTAGGAATTAGAGCTGGCTATATGTTTTTGGACCATTGGATGTCTCGCTACGTTACCGGATCATATGTGCTGACTACTAGTTCTGCTTCTGCCCAAGCTTTTTCTTTGCTACCGGGAGCCAGCGGAATTGGCTCACTTGATCGTGCGCTAGTCAAGCTTTTTCCCCCAAATGGTCCGTTCAAAGTCGAGCCCGTCGATTGAAAAGTGAAAACGATACTGAAAGATAATGGCAGTCGTGTACTCGTGTTCGTGGAGCGGCGACGGGACGAGGGAGCGCGACAGAAAGATGACCGATGACCCGGTCGATAAGGTGGGTCCAACCCCACCAACCGAACGAATTCCACCAGCCATCATCGATCGACTCGACGTTGACGGAGCACGTTGACAGCAGAAACCTTTCCCATTCGGACCATCATCACATGCATACATATGGCATTATGGCGCCTCGCATGCTGAAAGCTGCATGAAGATTATTTTTAAAAAATATATATATAGATACATACAATCTCATTCTACTCGTACATTTAGACACACACACACACTACACGTACACGAAGCTCACGGCGACACTGGCAAATCTAACAGTTCTATTTTTTTTTACCCGAAGTCACAATCACAGCCCAGCCTGTCCAAAGGCAGGCAGGCAGGGCAGCTGAAAAGAAGTGTGCAACCAAGGAAACTTCTTCCAATACTACGAGACAAGAGGATGCTTCGCCTCCATTCCATGGATCGCATTCGCATCCATGCACTACACTACACCACGGCAACAACCACAATTATTCGTAGCTTTATTCGGTTCGTCCAGAGCCCTTTGCTGTAGCCTGCAGGCCCAACTTTTCACTCGGCAATCCATCATGCATGGTACTCGCAAAATTAATCATGTGCCACGCGATTAGCACCGTGCATTATTGGCCGCCCCCGGTGTACACGCATGCGCCGTAGCCTGCAGAGATCGTAGAGAGGGAAACGAAGTTAGATTTTCTCGCGGAAAAAGAATCAGACATAAAGATAACAACAATCTCCGTCAAGAAAACTGAGTGCTGACGGTACACGTACACTGCCTTCGTAACAAAGTGGCCAGTCCAACAACAAGCAAGCACGGAGATACGGACGCCTAGATAACCCGAGAGATGAGTCATGACTCATGAGTGTACTACGTGCGACTACAAGACTAGCAAAGCAAACTTGGGCACTATCACATTGTTACTCTGTGATCACGCATGGAGACTAGCAAAATTTTTTTTGCAGCGAAGAGTGGAACACGACAGAAAGCGTCCTATCCGCAGCGCAGGGGAGGGTGGCCACTCATCAGTGCAGACGCTTGGCGCTGTGCGTGTGCGAACTGTCAGCACATGGACAGTGGATGATGGAAAGGAGGAGGACGGACAGGGGATGAGCAAAGCTGTTTTCCTTTTATCATGCACATGTCATGTCACCATTTTGTCATGGTCGTGCAGTGCTGCAAGATCTGCATGGACAAAGCCCAACAAACAAGGTCATGTCGGCGGCCTGCCAAACGAGCAGCGCCGGCTGACGCTCCGTGACGATTATGAACAAGCATGTTGATTCGGCGGGCCATGATTCCATGAACAAGAACAATTGCAGAGCAAGAGAGATTGGAGGACGCGGGCACACGTACTTGGGTTTTCGGAGGTGAGCGTGGCGGACGCCCGGAAGTCGCAGTTCCACGGGTGCCGCCCGGCCGCCTGGTACAGCTGGTTCATGGCGTACGCGGCGTGCGCGCGCACCGTGCTGGGCTCGAAGCAGGCGCCGCCGGGCTGGATGGCGCCGCAGTCGACGCCCACCTGCGAGCACGCGTAGTCCAGGTCCGCCTGCAGCTCCGCGTCCGAGGCGCCGTCCCGCGCCACGCACCACCCGCCGGCCTGCTTGGGCTGCGCCGCCCCTCCTCCCACTGCCGGCGCGGAGGAAGTCAGCCCGGCGTCGTACGCCATGGTCAGGTCCGTGTGGTACAGCCCGAACGAGCGCTCCGACGTGGGCCCGGGCTTGAGGTCCTCGTCGTAGAGCGCGAACAGGTACGTCTCCACCGACTTCCCGGGCATCAGCGGCGTGCCGGCGCCGGACCGCAGGTGCGCCACCAGGTTGGACACGTAGGCCCTGGCGTTCTCCGCCGTGGCGCCGGGCTCCCCGGCGTCGCCCTTTGTCGGCCAACCCGTCTCGGCCACCACGATGTCCACGCTCCCGTACCCGGCGCGCACCAGCGCCGACTTCACGGCGTCCAGCTGCGCGTCGAACATATTGGTGTACCTGATCCTGGACCCGCCGTCGACGCGCCCGGCGTTGGGCTGGAACAGGCAGAAGGCCAGCGTCTCCGGGCGCGGGTCCGACTGGTACGCGAACCACGGGTACGGGTTGATCATGAAGGGCGCGCCGGTCCGGCTGAGGAACGCCAGGATCTGCTGCAGCTGCGGCGCCACGTCAGGGTGGAACGCGCCCGTGGACGGCGGGTCCGACTGCGCCATCACGCCCATGGTGTTGACGGTGGAGA